AAACCGCTTTAATGTACTTGATAAAAAAGGCATTCTGCAGGACTAAATTTCTAGGCAGCCTCGCTTCGTGTAAAGCATGCCTTCGTAGAGCACATAACTCTTCCGACCATGCACTGAATTAAGTTTAACTTGATAAGGAAGAGGCTGAAATAGTTATGTGCCTAAATATCATTGGCTGCAATGATGGACCCGGCCCGGGACGAAAGCTTAACTAAATACCTGCGAGAGGAGGAATAAACCTTGATAGACGATAGGCGTATTGGAAAGCACCATAGCAGTGTTAATTTATTCGCTAACCTATACGGAGTATACGTAACTCATAAACCATATCCGGGGGGGATCATACGCAATTGTAGAAAAGGTGGAGCGCACCTGTTTCGTGGGAAATTTCTTAGACACTTAAGCTAGCCGGGAAGAAGTCAGACCTAGACTCTTAGTTAATGAATATGACCCGTAGATTTTGTATGAATAGTATGGAAGAGGTATATAACCAGTGGGATTTTGGTTAAGAGTGAGCACTACGTCCCCCCCCGCCACAAGATACACATCGCGAGGTTATTTATCCTCAAAGCATGATAAAAGTTATATTACGCCGCACGATAGTTGGACCTACAAAGAGTTCTAGACCTGGAGGTAACCGGGAAAAGACCTGATCAAATATCACAATCAGTCTCGCAGATAAGGACTGTGTCAGAAGTCTGCGTCGCACAACTACCCACTCTGTCAATGCTAGACACGATTGTGATAACCATGCCTGGTTCCAGGACCACTCACAGCCACCACCGTCGCCTGATGGTGGTTCATGGATCCTAGGTCCAATGGAATGGCCAACGCGACCGGCCATAGTTATTCCCATAACCTCGGGACGAAACGGCTAGCGTCACCGACAGGAGCCACAATGACAGCATCCATACCAGCATTCGTAACCTTGCAGGTGATACTTCTCAATCTCATCTGGGCCTTTGACCATACGGCAGACGTCAACCAACCAACTATAATCGACGGGCCTTGCATCAGGCAGTATCTGTTGGAGTTCGCATGGAGCGTTGGCTTTTAATGGTGACGAAACTCACAAGTGCACGCTCTTGGCAACCAAATTTACGCAAATAGGCATAATCCCTCACGTGACATCAATATAAATTACGGGCCTATCTCGGAACTCTTGAAAGCTTCCCCCGATATGGACGAAGGCCTTCGTCGCAGCTAGTGAGCGGCAATGCCAGTTCTAAAGAAAGACTAAGGATTCGATAGCAGCTTCTCCCTCCTTTATATACGGAGCATCCCAGGAAGTCTTCAAAATGTCCTCCGAGAAGACGACTACACCCAAGCCGGGTATGTCGCTCTATGCGAATTTGCTCGACACTCCTGAGGGCGCCTCCATCTCGCGCGCGCCAGTAGTCTTCAAGCAAGCTACAGACGCTCCCCAAGATGACCCTGCCATGAAAAAGCAGCAGATAAGTGCCGGTAGAGCTTATACCCTCTCTCTTCAAACAGTCTGTACCGACATGATTGGCTCACTTGTATCCCGAAAACCCTCTTTTGGTTTTTTCCTTTCTAAATGAACTACAGCTTCTCTACGGTTTCAGCCCACAAAAAGACCACAGTTGCCTTCTCAGAGGCTAAAGGCGAAATCCGGCATCTCAAAACCGCCTGTTATTACAAGCTCAGCAAGTCCTGCAACCCCAGACCAGGGTACTACGAGTGGTGCGGTAACCGCGGGCCGTCCAACTGGGAAGTCGACGATTGCAGATTGGACGGCCACGGCAGACGATGACGATGTTAATGGATATTATGGAGGAGAAAAGAGGCAACGCGGCGGTAGGAAGAAACGGAAAAAAAACTACGAGTCTGAGGTCATTATACAGAACTGGGATGACATCTACGATCCAACGCGCCCCAACAGCTATGAGGCATATAAGCATAGCGATGAGAAGATACGAGAGGTCAGAGAGTGGAAGGATCGGCTGTATGCCCACCGACTGGCGCAACAGTATAACAGTGATGAGGACAGTGATGAGGAGCGATCGAGGCCGCAAATGAACAGTACGTTATTATTCCTTTCTCTTTTTCTGTCTCATTTTGAAGACGATGCCAACCATGCATATTCCTTGCAGGACAATTTGCTCCTCCCCCATCTTTTGCGCCGCCGCCCAACCTGAATGCGCCCCCGGAAGAGTCTCCAGAGCCTGAACGTACGTTCTCGGAAGCTGTCCCACAGCCTGCTGTAGAAATTCCTGATGATTCAACCGGCGAAGAGGCGTACGCGCGACGATTACGGCTGAGTGCGAACATCAACCAGCCAGAGCCATCCCCTCAACCCTCGCAGCCATCACAGTTATCACAGCCATCACCTACGGATGAGGCTCCCGCATCGACAGCTCCAGCTAGCCATAAATACAGTGCAGCCACCATATCTCGCCCTCCGGTTCGATACGCATTGCCTACGGCGCCTAGAGATCTTCCTGCTACCGAAGCTGAACTTGAAGCAACATTGGCGAATGAACAAGAAGATGCAAACAAGGAAGGAGATGAAGATGCCCCTCGCTCCCTCAGACCAGGCCAGAAGGGCTTCGCAGAGCGACTGTTAACTAAATATGGCTGGACAAAGGGCTCTGGTCTTGGAGCGAATGAGTCCGGCATAGTCAATCCGCTCCAGGTCAAAGTACAAAAACAGAAGAAGAAACCAGATTCAGAAGGACGCGGAGTTGCTCCGCCCGGTGGCCCAAGGGGTAAAATCGTCGGTGGTGGCAGAAAACAGGAAGAGCAAGGGAAGTTTGGTCCCATGTCTGACGTTGTTATTTTGCATGGAATGGTAGACGGACTGGACTTGGATGCGGAGCTAGAATCGGGCGAGCTAATGCAGGAGATTGGAGATGAGTGCGGCGAAAAGGTATGGCATCCTTATATCGTCTTGAACTTTTGGTTGGACTAGTGGGGACTTACAGATTCGCAGTACGGCCGTGTCGAGCGAGTTTACATTGATCGAAACAGCAAAGACAGGATCCCTGTCTTCATCAAATTTACCAATCAACTATCTGCTTTGCGGGTGAGTTTGGGGAGCCATCGCTGGATGTGTAGACCTTGCTGACGGTTAGATATAGGCGGTTAATGCACTCGAAGGCCGAATATTCAATGGTAATACAATAACAGCCCGCTTTTTCGATAGCGAGAGTTTCGAAGAGGGAAGATATGATTAGCGCAATGCCAACAGTAAAATACTTCAGTCATGCCTATGTATTTGTAGATAGAACTGCACAATTAAGCTATGATGGATCACTGCCTATCAAAAACATGTTCAATCGCTGCGATTTATTTATAGAAGCTGCCAACAGAGAGAGAGAGAGAGAGAGTAGTTTTGACTGACACGTGATCCTCCCCACTTCCAATTGGAACGTCAGTCTTGGCCTTTTTTCTTTTTCACTTTATCGATCTTGAAGCCAAAGCAAGCAAAGAAGAAGGAAGATCACGCAGCAGAAGTTCAAGAACTGTGAAGAGGGAGAAGTGATTGTTTAGTTTGTGTCGTTTGTGTTACGGTATAAAAGGGAGCTTTTCTTTCTTGACATATCCTGGGTTTCTTCTTTTTCCACCTCTTGCCACTCTGTCAGACCATACCGGCTATCGAGCAAGCAACTTGACCCATTCAGACCAGGCAAGATGTCTCTCTGTATAAACAGACTGACTGAGGAACGGTGAGTGCCTTTAAAGCGTATCTATATGAGCTCCGTGCTGAGGACTGACGCTGTTTTTCTCCGGCGGCGCAGTAAACAATGGCGAAGGGACCACCCATTTGGCTTCTTCGCGAAGCCATACCGAACACCCCAGGGCGCCCTCGACCTGAAACGATGGGAATGCGGAGTACCGGGGAAATCAAAGACGCTCTGGGACGGTGGCCTGTTCAAGCTCGATCTAATCTTCCCTGACGGTGAGTTTGCGGACTGATTTATGTGGTAGGCAAGCAAGTCATGCTAACCAATATCTTTTTTCGATTCTGCGCAGAATACCCAACAAAACCCCCAAAATGTATGTTGACCAGACGACAACCGAAGATATATGCATGATAGGGTGTCTGACCATGAATGCAGGCAAATTTGTTCCCCCGCTCTTCCACCCGAACGTCTACCCGTCCGGAACTGTATGCCTGTCCATCTTGGCAGAGGACGACGGCTGGAAACCGGCGATTACGATCAAGCAGATCCTTCTTGGAATACAAGACCTTCTCGATGACCCGAACCCTGAATCCCCCGCGCAGGCCGAGGCTTACAACTTATTCAAAAAGGACCGTCCTGCCTACGAGAAGAAAGTACGGCAAGTTGTAAAGGAGCATCCTGCCGTCTAGAGACACCGATACCTTGCGGATTGATTCGACGCTTCATCTAAATTTCTCTATATCGCTTTTCTCTTTCATTCTGCACGTTAGCACGGCGTTAATTCCCGTCCAGATCTACTTTCGCCCCCCCCCCTCTTTTCTTGTCCACTTGGTCTATGCCACTGGGGGACTCGTCTATGTAGGAGACTTAGAAGTCTAGTTTATGAGTTTATGACAACGGCCTGATTAGATTATCTCGCACTTTCGCTTCTGATACTCTGTAGAAACCACTTCAGCGCTAAACGGCGCCTGCGCGGCACCATCCTGGCTCTTCCTCGTCTGCCCCCTGCCTGCACGCGATCAGGGTGACAAGGGGCGGAAAGCAAATTACCGCCTGGCTGACAGCTGATTGGCGCGGCACGAGGCTCAAGCGCCCAGCTCCGTCATCGGAGGACAGGGAGGCAGATGGGCAGAAGAAGGCAGCGCGCGACGCAGCAGCTGGGGGCAGCAACTCTCTACACAGGCACTTCCTAGATACATAGCTATCCAAGTAAGCTCCCCGACGACTGACTGACTAACCGGCAGCTAGCCTGAGTGCTTCGGCTCTTGTCCTTATCTTTGCCCTCCCTTTTTTCTTTTTTCTTTTTTTTTGTTACTCCGGGTGAGTCAAAAACTTTGATTCCCACCCTATAAAATGATTTATTGCCCCTCGGGAGAAGAAGCACAAGTCAAGGAGAACAAGGCCGAAGGGACAGGCGAAAGAAGAGAAGACGAGAGAAAGACGAAGAGCAAGAGGCTCCAGAGATCAGGTCAATTGGACTCGCGATTTCTTGGATTGCAACAGTTTGTTCTACTGTGATTATCTTTACCTCCGTCGCAAAGATGTGTGGCATATTTGCCTGCCATTGGTATGACTCCCGCCCCGGTCGACTTCACCAGCAGTTTCTTTCCTTTCCTTCTGCTGCTTCAGGACGGGCAATCGAGGCCTATGCGATGTATTTGAACTGTGTGCTTACTGATATTTGCTTTTAGTCACCCCGATGTGAAGCAGTTCAAGCCGACTGCGTTGCGCATGGCGAAAGCGTGAGTCATTATTTCGGCCTTTCTGTGCATTTCGAGAGAGAGCATATTGTATCCCCCGAAAGAGTAGAGTGAAAGTGATGGTAAAGGACATACGTCGCTAAGTCAAGATTCAATGGAACAGCTTGCGCCATCGAGGACCTGACTGGAGTGGAAACTTCGTTGCCAACAACACAAGTGAGTAATAGCAATTTATATAAAGGAGAAAAAGGGACGTACTGACAGTCATTAGTTCTTGCACACGAGCGATTGAGTATCGTCGGAGTCGGTATGTTGAAGTCCCGGTATGCTCCGTAGGCAGGAGTGGTTGCTGATACTTATGCTTGTAGACTCTGGAGCTCAGCCCCTGGTCAACGATGATGAGACATTGGCGCTGGCAGTCAATGGCGAGATATACAATCACCGAATCATCAGAAAGGGCCTGAAGGTACCCTACAACTTTAAGACACACTCAGACTGCGAAGTAGTCATCCCATTAGTAAGTTTCTCCTCGATATATATACAATAAGCGTGGGTGCTTACTAGTTGACAGTATATGGAACATGGCGTTGATGCACCCAAGTATCTTGATGGCATGTTCTCCTGGGTCCTCTTCGATAAGAAAGAGAACCGCGTGGTAGCTGCCAGAGACCCCATTGGTATCACAAGCTTCTACCAAGGGTGGTCTTCCAAGACCCCAGGAGCAGTCTACTTTGCTTCCGAGCTCAAGTCTCTTCATCCTGTCTGTGACAAGATCATCTCTTTCCCTCCAGGTCATGTCTATGACTCCAAGACGGATACAATGACCAGATACTTCCAGCCTAAGTGGTGGGATCCCACCAACGTCCCCTCGGCCCCTGTGGACTACAAATTGATCCGTGAAGGTCTTGAGAAGGCCGTGAGGAAACGCTTGATGGCAGAGGTCCCTTATGGAGTGCTTCTTTCTGGCGGACTTGACTCCAGTTTGGTTGCTTCGATCGCTCAGCGTGAGACGCTCAGGATGCAAGCCGCCCGGAAGGAATTGCTGCAGAACGGGGCAGCAAACGGCACCAGTCCAAATGGGACTGACTCCGGCCTTGTTGGAATCGATGACACCAATGAGATCTCGACTGTCAGCACCCTACCACAGCTCAACTCCTTCTCCATTGGCCTGCCCAACGCCCCCGACACCAAGGCTGCTATTGAAGTGGCGGAGTTCCTTGGAACCAAGCACCATGCCCTCACCTTCACCATTGAAGACGGCCTCAACGCCCTCTCTGATGTGATCTACCACCTCGAGTCATATGATGTGACCACCATCCGCGCCTCGACACCCATGTACCTTCTCAGCAGGAAGATCAAGGGCATGGGCGTCAAGATGGTGCTCAGCGGAGAGGGAAGTGATGAGATCTTCGGTGGATACCTGTACTTCCACGCTGCACCAGACAAGGCCGCCTTCCATACCGAAACCGTCCGCCGCGTCAAGAACTTACATTTGGCCGATTGTCTGCGTGCAAACAAGTCCACCTCCGCTTGGGGTGTAGAGGCTCGCGTGCCTTTCTTAGACAAGCAGTTCCTCGAAGACGCCATGGGTATTGACCCCGCTGAGAAAATGATCAACAAGGAACGGATTGAGAAATACATTCTTCGTAAGGCCTTTGACACCACTGATGAGCCTGACACGAAGCCGTATCTTCCCGAGAAGTACCTGTGGCGCCAGAAGGAGCAGTTCAGTGACGGTGTTGGGTATGGATGGATCGATGCTCTCAAAGACAACGCCGAGCTGCATGTCACAGACGAGATGATGAAGAACCCCAGGCCTGAATGGGGAGACGACATTCCAGATTCCAAGGAGGCGTACGTCTACCTGATTTCCGTGCTCCCTCTTTCTTTTGCAATTGAATAGACAGAAACTAACAAGATTGCAGATATTGGTACCGCATGATGTTCGACGAACACTTCCCACCTTACTGTGCCTCCACCGTCAGCAGATGGACTCCAACCTGGTCCAAACAGACTGATCCCAGCGGACGGTTCGTCTAATCTTCTCTACCCTTTCCAGTTTTCTGCCTTGTCCAATGCTAACATCATTGTCCAGGGCCATCTCTACCCACGTCGCCAAGTACGAGCAGTAAGAAGAAAAGAGCCCTTTGACCAGCTTTTTTTCTCTTCTCTTCTCCTCCTCAGGGAGAGAGGGGGGGGTGGTATATCCATCCTGTCTTTCTTTTCTCCTTTGTCCTTGACTACTTCTTTCTCTTTGTAACTACTAAAAGCGAGATCTCGGACCTAGCTAGTTAATAGACCATCATTCTTCTTCTACCTTCTCTCCTCCTGGCCCTCTCTTTTATATCAAGTCCAGGCCGCGCTTTTATGAAAGGCACATCACGTGAAAGGGGTCAACCAATAGGAAGGCATCCTTTTCCACGCCCGTTTGAGGTTGCCCCGGCGGCCCTGCTCTCCACGTGACCTATCGTCTTTTTCCCGTCTTTTTTTCTTTCTCGCTTTCCGTCTTTTTCCTTCTTCGCTCCAACAACAACAACGCCAGCAACGCCAGCTTCACCAACCTCCGTCACCTTCATCAACGCCATCTTCAAGTCTCGTCCAAGGACTTCCGTCTTCACCATGTCTGCCCCAGCTGCTTACAGTGACATTGCTAAGGCTGCCAATGATGTACGGCTTCCTCTTCCTCTGCGCGTTGCTTAAACGGCGCCCCTCCCCAAACTTCCCCCCAACAACTTCGCTCTCCACATCACTCTCGGAGTATGAGAGGCAGCACGCTAATCGCATATTCTACAGCTCCTGAACAAGGACTTCTACCACACCAACCCAGGTATGCAGAGATCTTTATCAATTGTTTCCGTTGCTGTGATGTCGTTGTCGTCGCTGGTGACGTTGTCCTTTTAAGCTTAAGCGCTGACCAACTCAATTGCACCACAGCCAGCCTCGAGGTCAAGTCCAAGGCCCCCAATGGCGTTACCTTCAATGTGAAGGGAAAATCTGCCCACGAGGGCTCCATTGCTGGATCCGTAAGTCTCGGGTATTCGGATATTTTTGTCTCGTTACAATTGCTAACCTTCCTTTGTCCTACATACAGCTTGAGGCCAAATACGTCGATGCTCCATCCGGTAAATAAATATACACCGATTTGCTGAAGCTAGCCAGTAGCCAATTGAACCCAAGCGACTGACTGCTACTAGGCCTCACTCTCACCCAGATGTGGACCACCGGAAACGCCCTCGACACCAAGCTCGAGCTCGACAACAACATCACCAAGGGCCTCAAGGCCGAGGTTCTCACACAGTACATCCCTTACTCCCAGTCTAAGGGTGCCAAGTTGAATCTCCACTTCAAGCAGCCAAACCTGCACACCCGTGCCTTCTTTGACCTCCTCAAGGGCCCAACTGCCAACTTCGACGCCGTCCTCGGCCACGAGGGCTTCCTCGTCGGTGCCGAGGGTGGTTATGACGTCCAGAAGGCCGCCATCACTAAGTACTCTGCTGCCGTCGCCTACTCTCTCCCAGAGTACTCTGCCGCCATCACTGCCTCCAACAACCTCTCTGTCTTCGCTGCCAGCTACTACCACCGCGTCAACGCCCAGGTCGAGGCTGGTGCCAAGGCCACCTGGGACTCCAAGTCCGGAAACACCGTTGGCCTTGAGGTTGCCAGCAAGTACAGACTTGACCCATCCTCCTTCGCCAAGGTATATATCTCCAACCTCAACTCTCCTGCCCCGAGACTATGCTTACCATCACGGCTATAGGCTAAGATCAACGACCGCGGTATCGCCGCCCTCGCCTACAACGTCCTCCTCCGCCCAGGTGTCACCCTCGGCCTCGGAGCTTCCTTCGATACCCAGAACCTTAACCAGGCCGCCCACAAGGTTGGCGCCAGCTTCACCTTCGAGGGTTAAATCAGTGCTATCCACCGTAGCACTACTTAACCTGTTAACCCATAACCTGCTAATAGGAACATACCGAATGCTTTGTCTTCTAGCGTTCCCCTGTACTATCTCAGAACTATGCGTTTCCTCTTGATATATTAAAGTTCTATAGCCAAATAAACTATTTGTCTTCACGTCTTAGTATTATATACAATTATGCTTGGCTCGCTTGTTTTATTACATATACCATTCACATATTATCTGGTCCTTGGTTCGCGTCTTTCTATGCACATGACTTTGAGATGAACTTGACGTATTTATTACATTTTTGGTTAAAGTCTTTTCCTGTCTAATACCATTTATATACATCCCCGTTATCGTCTGGTCTGGTGGCATTATTGTACAAAGTCAACCCGTCACATCGCTCCCATACTACTTTGTTCGAGATTCTTTCTGTCTCGCGGACAGCTCCTGCAGACCAGGTTCTTTCATCTTCATCCTCCCAAGGCCCGCACTCAGCATGGCCACAGCCAGAATCCCCGATATAACCAAAAATCTCATCGTCATGCTTCCCTCATCATATCCACCTCCAAACGAGTGTCCTTCCGCAGCTCGTTTCTTCTGCTCTTCCACGCTCCTAGCCCGTCTCGCTCGCCGTCTCATATCCTCATGCGACTGAGTCCGCCGATGAGACCTGGCATCAAAATGCGGAACATCAGAATGATGATACTCAGGATGCTCCTGCTGGTGCGGCCCAGCCTGATGCTCATGCGACTGTCTCTGGGTTGTCCCGTAACCACCATTCGCATAAAAGCTAGGCGGAGGCCCCTTAAAAGTTCCCCTGCGCTTACTTAGCCCTGATGCAGGGCGAGAGCCAAACTGTGACCCCCCTGCTGACGTTGACGCAGATGAGAAACTACCCGTTCCAGGCCGAGTGGTTGTACTCGAAGCAGAAGGAATACGAATGCTGTTCTCTCGGTCATATCGAGCGCGCTTCTTAGGATTAGCGAGGACATGGTAGGCCGATGATATAGAGGAGAATTTATCTGCTGCTCCTGGTTCCTTGTTTCTATCAGGATGATGGGCTAGGGAGAGAGCATAGAACTTTCTGCTCATTGCGCGCGAATAACGATAACAGTTAGTAGAATGTTGCAAATGCCGCATGACAGGAAGCCAATTGCATACTTTTTGATCTCATCTGTCGTTGCAGTGACTGGCACACCGAGTATGTCATAGTATGTTTGAGCTGCAGCGCGGAAAGCCGTGGAGGAGAAGGCGTTGCAGCCGTAGTAAGTGAGTCGTGTTATCGGAGCGCGGAAGAGGAAAGCCGGAGAATGTCGCAGCCACGGGGTATGGGAACAAAACGGCATTCCTTCATGTCTCGTGCCTGCTCTCCAGCTGCTGCGGCTGCTGTCGTCTCAACCCTTGGGTCGTTCTATATCCGTCCGCAGTCGATCTTCAGACGGGACGAAGTCGAGGAAACGAACTAGTTAGTTAGGTCAGGGCTGGCTCTGGAGGTTAACTAGTTACTTAACTAACGAACTAGCTTATCGCCGATAAGGTCACATGACCACTCTTAGTCGCCCGCGCCCGCAGTAACGACGGAGACAGCGAGGAAACGAACACACAAGCAGAGAGTCTCTACCGGAAGAGCGCGGCTTGGTTTCTCTCTTCTGTTTGCATTGTACAGGCCCGGCTCTTTTCTAAATCCCAGCGGAGTCACATACAGGGTTTCCAAGAACGAGCTTTTTGTTGTTCGCTAAAATATTTTTCCCAGCAACGGCAGAATGAACTAGTTAACTATACGAGAAACCTGTATAAAACCAACCCACTTCCCGCCCAAAGGAACAAAAACCCAACCATCCACCGATTTGAATACCTCGATTTGCTCCATAATGGCTGCTCAGGCTGCCCCGGAGCTCGCGAAGCTTGACTGTAAGTTATTGTTATTATTCTCCCTTTTTATGTCTCCCGTCATAGCCCTTGCAATGTGTGGGTAGCCATAGGGAATCTAACACAGAATCCTTTTTTAGTGAACAAGAATACCGGCTCTGTCGAGGCCAACGCTGTCTCAGCTGGTGGTTCAGAAAAAGAAGAGGCTGAGAATGAAGGGGATTCCGAGGATGACAGAGATGATGAGCAGGCGGGCGGCTCTGCCGAAGTAAATGGTCCGTTTTGACACTCGCGCCTGCATGGACCCTGCGGGAAAGCAATAGTGCTAACATCGATATTTAACTATAGCGGAGAAGAAGAAGAAAAAGAAGAGGCCGAAGAAGAAGAAGAAGACAGCCAAGGTTCAATCGAGCCCTCCTCGCATACCCTTGACCACTCTCTTTCCCAACAACAACTTCCCCGAAGGAGAAATCGTGGAGTATCTAAACGAAAATTCCTACCGTACCACAAACGAAGAGAAGCGACACCTTGATCGTATGAACAATGATTTCCTCACTGAATACCGCCAGGCTGCTGAGATCCACCGTCAGGTCCGTCAGTATGCCCAAAAGGAGCTGATCAAGCCTGGTGCCACCCTTACCGATATCGCGGAGGGTATCGAGGACGGAGTCCGCCACCTGACCGGCCACATGGGTTTGGAAGAGGGAGACAGCTTGGTTGCTGGAATGGGCTTCCCTACCGGATTGAACATCAACCACTGTGCAGCTCATTATTCTCCCAATGCCGGGAACAAGGTCGTTCTTCAACACGGTGATGTCATGAAGGTGGATTTTGGCGTCCACATCAATGGCAGAATCGTCGACAGTGCCTTCACCGTTGCATTTGATCCTGTTTTTGACCCTCTGCTTACCGCCGTCAAGGAGGCAACCAACACCGGAATCAAAGTATGTTTATGTTGACTCCCAATATATGCTGACTGAATCCTTGGCTAACGACGTAATTCAATTTAGGAAGCTGGTATTGATGTCCGCATGAGTGATATCGGCGCAGCGATCCAGGAAACGATGGAGAGTTACGAGCTCGAACTCAATGGAACATCCTATCCTATCAAGGCAATTCGTAACCTGAATGGCCACACAATCGGCCAGTATGAAATTCACGGTGGAGTCAACGGCAAGAGTGTCCCGATTGTCAAAGGTGGTGACCAGACCAAGATGGAAGAGGGTGAAACCTATGCTATCGAAACCTTTGGCAGTACCGGAAAGGGATATGTTAGAGATGATGTAAGTGGCTCCTTACACTATTTCATTATCAGTTCTCAGTTTGATATATTCGGTATACTAACCCAGTATAAACGAACAGATGGAAACATCTCACTACGCTAAAGTTCCAAATGCTCCAAGCGTGCCTCTTCGATTGTCTTCTGCGAAGAACTTGTATAGTCTTATTAACAAGAACTTCGGCACCCTACCTTTCTGCCGTCGATACCTTGATCGTCTCGGACAGGAAAAGTACCTTCTTGGGGTAGGTTGTATTCTTACAAAACATCTACTTACACCCACTAACATTCATATATAGTTGAACAACTTAGTCTCCTCTGGACTTGTCGATGCGTACCCTCCACTCTGTGATGTGAAGGGATCTTATACCGCCCAGTTCGAGCATGTAAGTCTTATTCCAGCCACAGTAGCTGCCAAATTTCCATATTCTCCTCTCACTAACCAAACTAACAGACTATCTTGCTCCGTCCAAATGTCAAAGAAGTCATCAGTCGTGGTGACGATTACTAAACCTATTTTAACTTACGGCCTCTCTTTTATGTTGAATGCACCACGAACCTCAAAGGGGATGAGGTATGCTACACTCATGCCCTATTTTGGCAAGGGCTTGTATGCTTTGCTTTTATTTGGCCTTCTTACGCAACTGCAATGGTAATGCTTGGGAATGGTAGTCCGGCGGCACTCGCAACTCATTAAAAAAAATTTAGCGCTCATTCCACTGTATATGTATTTCACAGCCAATCCTCATCCCAGACCACACAACCTTCCCAGTAACAAGTAATAGTACATATATACAGCATGCATAAATGTATATAAAGGAAGGATAAAGTAAGTTGAATTATGGCTTCAAGTCCAAACCTTCAAATGTTATGAAACAAGACATGCTGCACCGTACTCAGAACGAGGAGGGAAAGTCGGCATGCCCCGTTTTTGCGCCTATATAAGGAAGATAAACTGAAAACTCCCTACAAACCAAATGCACCGACTCCAAACCGCTCTAATTAATACAGACGGCCTCCAGCACCTCAAGGTCCCCGTGCCGTTTTCAAGACCAGTTTGAGCTGGTATTAGTTTGTCTGCGTCTCCTTGATGATGGTTGAAGGAGGGACGGTGTTCGTGTTGTGGTCGGGGTCCTGATTTCTTCCTTTTGCGGTGAGCCGGGAAGCAGTTGTTGTGATAACCGATGATTCAGTCGCGGCGTCTTGCCCGGTAATCCTGTGCTGCCGTTGCCCGACAGACCAGGATGAATATTCGGTGGCCTTCCACCATCCCGGCTCCCAGGACGGAGGTTTAGAGAACTATCGAGTCCGTTCTGACGGCGAGAAGACTCTCGGCCTTCGTAATATGGCTTTTGGGAAATTGGCCTAGTCACTTGAGGCGAAGCTGGCATGGAGTGGCTGGATATTAAGCTAGGTGGAGCAGCTGTAGAGGTGCTTCTTCGCCTTTGCCTTCGTTTTGACCCGTTCAAACTTGCATTATCGCTATCTTCGCTGTTCTTTACTAGTTGACCCGCGAGCTCTCTCACAAGGACACGAGAGTCTTTCTGCAGTTCTCGTATGGCATCAAGTAAACCGTAGCGACGAAGCAGGCCACATTGTTCCTGGCTGGAATCGCATATCGTAGATAGGATTCGCAGTAAGTTCACTCTAACGGATGGCTTAGTATGCTGTAGTTTTTGCCCAATGCGTTCAAACATATCGGGCCTGGCAAAGGTAGCTGCAATGGCGGGACTTAGCCGAAGCAACTTTTGCAAAGGCTCAAGGAGGTTCTCAAAGGCATTGGCTTTTGATATTGTCATGCATCGGATAATGGCTATAGTGAAGGAAGAATCTCCATGTTGGGTATCGAGGAGGTACTCTTCAACCTTGGCGGTTTCTTCTTGGAGCCTGATAATACTTATTAGTAAAAAAGGATAATTCTACAATTCAGACACGACCAGGAGCGCTCACCAAGTAAAAATAGCATCTAGAGTTGTGACCTGCCAGTATGGATCCGAGAGCAAGGAAATATAAAATGTCAACCCCTTATTGCGCCAAAGTTCGCGGCGCCCAACCTTGCCAGAATGCGCCATGTCACAGAGAATAGGAAGCGCAAACTCTTTCAATGGTCGTTCTGTTTTAACAATTTTTTGTAGTAAAGGTATTATGCCGTTCAAAGCAGCGTCTTCTTGCCTCGACTTGCTTAGACGGCACATATTATAGATAGTGTTTAGTATCTGATTTGATACTTCGCGGAAATGAGGCTTTTTCATTGTTGATCGGAGGAGTTCAGTTAGAACGTCAATAGCATTTGAGTTTTGGAGAGAATCAAGAGTTGTGGACAGCATGGAGAGGTTTTTAATAAATTTGAGCATCGTTATCTGAGGACTGGGTGACATTCTCTTCAATTCTTTCAATACACCTGAGAGAAGCGTCAACATCTGCCAGATATATATTTACTTGAGCTAATGAGCTGTACTTACGATGCAATACGGTTCTCTCTGCCACCATCTCTTTAACGTGGCTTTCGGCTTGTGAGAATATGAAGAAGATGTTAGAAATGCGAGCCTCGCAGACCTCTGCCATTTCACCCTCTTCCTCATCGAGTACTCTGCTCAAGACGAGGGACAAGGGATCCAAGACCGAGTTTCGAGACAGTATGCGACAGAAGTCATTCTTTGGAGTTGATCCCTATACAATTCAATTAGTCACTGATAAGCCGGTTCAAATGAATAATCTAAATCCTAATACGTACCTGCAACTCAAACACACTCCATATGCCATTGACACCGATTAGCACAAGCTCTCTTTCATCCTCATAATCATCCTCGAGGAATTCGACAAGGACATTCAGTCCACCAGCACTGACGAACATTTGCAATGTCAGAGTTGATGTCTGGTACATCTGCTGGACAAATGCCGCCGCCTCAAGACGGATTTCCCTTGGGTATTTCTTCGAAGCAAACTTGTTGATAATCGGAATGCCACCAACGAAACACAGATTTTCCTGAATCTCGTAATCGTTGTAGATGATCTGTTACCAATCACATTAGTAACACATCGATAGGGGTGAGGAAGGCGTTGTATAACGTACAGCATTGACTATTTTCAATAAGTTGGAAATTACATCCCGGCGCCTGCAGGTGTCTAAAATTTCTAGAATAGGAAGCATTCCGTGAGCACTCATGATGACAGACTTGGTTTCCGGCATATCTGAAAATATAGTCATCTAAAAGAAGTTTAGTAAGCACATTGTTGAAAAAAAAAAAAAAAAAAAAAAAAACCAAAGCAGGCAGGGGTGACATACCAATTGCTCTGAGATATCCACTAGAACTTCGTCGTCCTGTGAGGTTTTCAAAGAGCTAACAAGTCCCTCCACCTGATTGCGTAGCCGTGCATATTTATCTCGTGCAATGTTAGCTTCCAAGTCGAGTTCGTCTAGGCCTTCCTCTAGCTGAGCAAAGGGATCATCCTCATCATCAATGTCTCCCAGCCATGAGTTTGTTGATAGTTTCGAATTGAGCATCAAGGCGCTACGATCTGAGCCCTCCTCACTCTCCAGTTTGACAAGGGTATTTTCATTGTCACCCAGAATATCAGAGAAGTCCTCGTCTGCCTCATCCTCGGCATACATTTCTATCTCAATAGCTGATCGAGATCGAGCAAATTCTGACCTCTTTCTCCGACGTACGCTTGGTTTTACGGGGGTGTTTTCATCGCCCGAGAAGATCTCTTGGCCCATTACAGGTTGTGTATGGGCTGCACTTTCATCTTGTCCGATGCCCTAGAGACCATTAGGTTAGCATTAATTGTTTATTTTAAAAGAGGGCAACCAATTGGTTCTTACCGGCATGGCAGATAATTTACTTTCCAGCACTTCATCATTTGCTTCAATGAGATCTGAATAATCTTCGACGGAGCTCTCTTCGTAGAAATTCGCTGGTCGTTGACGAATTGGTTTTGCCGCTCCTGAAGTCGATGATATAATCGGCCCTCTCCTAAACGCAGAAACCGGGTATTGTCTATGTCTTCTGCGCGGGCTGCGTGGTGGCATAACTTCGTCATCAAAAGACCTTCGAGAACGTGGCCGAATAGTCTGCAAGGGGTCGGGTTCGTCATTATTCATGGCATCGTTAATCTGGCCGTCATTGTCTATACCGGGGTTATCTGTCTGGCAGAGCTCCGTTATGCCTTCAAGAGATGCAAAGGCTTTCAATTTTTCAGGAGATAGCATTCCGTCGAAATTATCTTGTGGTTTGAGGTGTGGCAGGTGAAGCGCACCGGGAGAGATGGCAGAGGCAAAGTCATCGTCCCAATTATCATCGTTGGTGTTCTCTGGGGAGCGATACTTTTCTGCAGCATTCATGTTTAATAGAGACGAGGTGTCTCGGTTTGGTATAGTTAGAGGGTTAAGTTCCTTTTGTGTTGAGATAGGGCTACTCCCTATTCCTGGTTGCGGGTGCTGGGAGGGCTTGCGAATGGCATTTGAATTAGGGGACCGAAGTGCTTCGTTCCACTCCTGAACGCTCCTGACTGCCTCTTCGTACTCTGTTGATTTCTTGGGGACAACGGAGTCACATCGACGAACATTCACTATCCATGGGTGTTTGAGCAATTTCCTGGCAGACACCCGTAGATTCGGGTCCTTCTGAAAGCACTGCATCAGGAAGTCCCGTACGGCCTAGTTTAGGTTATTAGCAGCTATCATCATAGTAGGACACCAAGGCCAGAATCAAAGATAAATAAAGGAAACTCACAGGAGAAGCGCCTTGGGGCAGCGGGGGGTGGTCGTCATTGACAATGCGGAATAAGGCCTGCATGGGTTGGAATTTATAGTACGGCGGCTTCCCTTCAAGCAGTTCTATAACAGTTGAGCCCAAACTCCATATATCCGAAGCTGTTGTAGCACCGGATAGTTCAATAACCTCGGGAGCCATCCAGTACGGTGTTCCGACGACGCTGGACTCATGAAGACCCGTAGTTCGGCTGGCGACACCAAAATCCGCAAGCTTCACTAGGCCCTGCTTTGTAGTCAGGATGTTTGCGCCCTTTATGTCCCTGTGTATGACACCTTGTTCGTGCAGATATAGCAATCCGTGGAGGACCTGAGACATATATAGCCCAACCAAGTTCTCAGGGAACCGGCCGAAGTTCTTGGAGATCGAATGCAGCGAGCCGTTTTCGCAGTACCTATCAGACGTGTTAGATATATATTCTGAGACAGACAGACAGACAAACAGAAGGGTAGAGATAAGAAAGATACATACTCTAATATGATGTTTAGGGTTTCGGCAGACTTTACAAAGCCATGGTACTTGACGATATTTGGATGCTATGACGGGTAAGCATATTAGGAGCCGTGGATTTGATGTCGGGTTCCTGATCCAAGGGGGGGGGATCTTTAGCCGGCCCGCAACTTACATCTAGATTCTTCAACAGGTCTATTTCTTGCTGCAGAGGGTAACGTATTAGATCGAAACCGAGCTATGTGTAGATATATGCGTGTGTCCGCTCAATGGGCCACTTACCATGATAACCCTCAGCTCACTCTTTGGCAGATCCGCCAGCCGTATCTGCTTGACGGCAACAGTCTCGCCGGTGCCCCAATTCAGGGCTCTGTAGACAGACCCGAAGGCACCTTTGCCCAGGCAGTCCCCTAATTGCTATTGCAGAGGCACATTAGCCATTCCATCCATTCACTGTCTGTCAACTCCCGCCCCTCCTCTCTCTTTCTCTCTCTCTCTCCCTCGCTCACGGCAAGATAAAGAAGACATACAAAGTCAGTGAGTTCCGCCACGTCTTTGGCCGAGGACTTGATCTGCCGGTCCCTGTCCCTGTCCCGGTCCCTTTCCCTCTCCCGGTCCTTCTTGGGCGGGCTGGAGTCAGCTCTCGACATCCTCCTGGTAGGGGTATTTGAGGTGCGGGTGGCGCTGGCGTCTCCATTATCCTGTTGCTCGCGCTCGCGGGGTCGGGACACCACCATCGTTCGGCCAGTGCGTGCAGTGCGTGTCTGCGTGTCTGCGTCTGTTTGCTAGCGGGGGAGCAGCCGTGCTATGCCTGCGTCTGCTCGCGGGGAGGCAGCGGACTTGCGGTGTATGGGGAGAAGAAGGGGATGTTTGTAGTAGTGGCGACGGCTGTGGTCTGGTCATGTCAGTCGGGGACGCGGACGGCGAGCCAGCGGGAGTTACAGCATTCGATGGTGGAGTCGATGAGCCCGTCGATGTCTCTCTGTCGCTGCGTCTCTCTGTGCGCTTCCGCCTGTGTCTGCGTCTGTGTCTGTGTCTGCGTCTGTGGCTGCGGCTGCGTCTGCGGGACGGCGTTGGCGATGGCGGCGGACGACACGAAAGCGATGCAGGGAGTAACTAGGTTAGTTAGCAGAAGCGAGCAGGGGGCGGAGGGAGCTGTCAGTCGTCGGCCTGTCAGTCAGGTCAGCAAACAGGGAGCGTCCTCGCGGCCTGCAGCGATGTTTTCTCCAGCATGCGAGTGCTCCTCCTTTGCTTTGCTTTTTTTTTTTTTGGCCCTCGTTTCGTTGCGTCTCTGAGGAAGAAGAAATTTAAGGGTGAGCGATGACGCACTTTGGGGGGGGGGGGCGTCTTTTGGCGCTTCTATCAGGGCGTTGCTTATCAGACAGAGAGAGAGAGAGAAGAAGAAGAAGGAGGAGGAGGAGAGAGAGAAACGGCTACAGCTCGCTACATCGTAAGTCTACAGCCATTAGAGGCAGAGGGAGTCTACTGCGCTAGAGGACGCACCCCCTGGTCGTCTCGCTGCTGTACGACCTCGGGTAAATGCTAAGGAGAGACAAGTCTGGGGGGAAAAGGGGGATGGATAGAGCTGTTTGTAGATCTATAGAAAACCGGATTGCCCGTGGGATTATCCCAAAGTCTAGTACAAAGAAGTGTATATGTATGTGCATGAATTAGTATTATACAGAGGCGGCGGTGCGAGCCACAGCGGTGTCTGCTGCTGTTGCTGCTTCTGCTTCTTCTGCTTCGGCAGCGGTTGTCTGGCGGAGCAGACGCAAGATATCAGAGACAAGATAGAGACTGCCGGCAATGACGACAGGGTTGTCGGCGGCGGTGAGGTGTGCCCACTGCAGTGCCTTGGGGATGTCGTGTCCAAACTGAGTGGTTGTGCCACGGCTGCTGCCGGTGGTGATAGACCTGGCCGTTGCGAGCAGTTCGGCGGTGGGCACACTTCTGACCCAGGGCATGCCGTCCACAGGGCCGAACTGAACGGCTGCCACGTTGTCCCCCGGCCTGAGCAAGCTGCCAAACAGCTCTGGTAGGTCTTTACCCTGAGACGCGGCGATCACCCAGGTGATGTTTGCCTCCGGGCGGCGCAGGGTCTGGTCCACGTAGGAGGCCAGCACTTTGGCCGACTGCGGGTTGTGCGCACCGTCCAGCAGCACAGGAGAGTCACGGCGAGGTATGAGGGGCCAGAGATCGACGAGCTGCAGCCTGCCGGCGCGCGGGTTGAGAGGGAGAAACGGGAGCAGATCGGTGGGCTTCAGGTTTGCCCGCAGCCGCGGCAGAGCATGTTCCAAGGCAGCAACTGCGCACGAAATGTTCGACCGTTGGTGTGGCTGGGCCGCCAGGTCGTGGAATCGCTGCCGGAGCTGCGGGTAGGCAGAGACGATGCTGTCCGGCTCGACAAAGGTGGCCGTCGTGTTGGCCCTGCTCGCGTGGTGCCTGATCACGCTCTTGACCTGCTCCTCGTTGGTCCCGTCAACGACACACGGCACCCCAGGCTTCATGATCCCGGCCTTCTCAGCGGCAATTTCAGCCAGCGTGCTGCCCAGGATGGCCTGGTGGTCGAGCCCGATGTTGGCTATCACCGAGACGAGCACGCTCTCGCTCGTCAGTATGTTCGTAGAGTCCAGCCGGCCGCCCATCCCGACCTCGACAACGCCCACGTCGACGTCTTCCTGCCGAAAGATCTCAAAGGCCGTTGCCGTCAGCAGCTCGAACTCCGTGGCGCCGATTCCCAGGCTGGCGTCCCGCCTCTTGACCTGCTCCTCGACATGGCGGAAGAGCGACTCCTGCACCGCGCGCTCGTTGATGGTGATGCAGTCCCAGCGGTCGACCAGGTGCGGTGAGGTGAACGAGCCGCAGCGAAGCCCGCCGGCCGTCAACAGCGACGACAGGTAGCCAGCTATCGATCCTTTGCCATTGGTGCCGGCGACGTGGATGGCCTTCCAGGCGAGCGAGCTGGCCGGCACCAGGCGGGATATGCGGGCAAGGCCAAGGTCAATCATTCAGCCAGTGCCCATGCTAGAACCTGTTTCTGCGTCTCGCTCTCCGTGCGTGTATCGTCTCTCGTCGCCCAGCTCGGTCGTTAAACGGCGAATCCCAAGTGTTTCTTCCGTCTTTTCGTGTCTTTTTTTTTTTGGTGCTTTCGAAGTCGTTTTTCGGATGTTTTTTTCTTCTTCCCTTTTCGGATGAGGCTCTTGGTCACGTGAAGTGTTATTTTCAACTTCGAGGAAAAAAAGCGACGTCGAAGAAGAAGAAAAGCAGAAGAAAAGCAGAAGAAGAAAAGCAGAAGAAGAGAAGAAGAAGAAGACAGAGATAGTCATCTTGTCATCGTGTCATCTTGCAGTCATCTTGCAGCGTCTTGCAGCGTCTTGCAGCGTCTTGCTGTCCCGCCCGGCCTCGACCGTCTCTACGCCTCCGCAGCGTTTCAGGGTCTCGCTCACCCACCCCCGGCCAGGCGGCCGCATCGTCTTTTATTCTTCAGCTTCGGCTGCATATACGGAGTCCTAAGCGATATCGAACTGCTCCAAGTGTTCCTCTGCTGCCGCTGCCGCTGCTGGGCTCCGTGTTTTGCCTTCGACTAGTCTCGCGTGGCTATAATTGGCTGTGGCTGAGATTCTTCGTTGTCTCGCGCGTTTCATCCTCGTAAATCGATCGATCGACAAAACCACCGCCAGTTCAGCTTCACTCGCCGCCTGCCTCGACCCTCGACCCTCGACCCTCGACCTGGTCCCAGTCATAATTCATCTCGTCTGCTGGCTTGCATCTCGAGATTCACCTTCGTTTTCCCCTGTTCTGCCCTTGTTATCCCCTCCCATAATCATAATACTCGCCGTTGCTGTGCAATCATGGGCATCCCGTAAGTTGTTTACCACAGCCATCGAGCACCAACATAACAGTCCTCCTCCCCCAGGACCGCGTCTAGATACACTAACATCGGACCGACAGGCTTGACTACACTCCTCCTGCATCTCGCTCGCGTCCGAGTGCCGGGTCGGGCGTTCGCGTCTCTGCAGAGGCCGGTTCTAAACCGCCAACCGACCCAACCGCAGCTGCTCGCTCCTCGATTCGACGCAGCCCGCACCCGCACCCACAGTCCAGCAGAAGACTCAGCAGGTTGCAGACCAGTCGCCGCACTACTACTACTGTCCGCGACCTGAGGGACCGGCCTCTGATCTTCGATCCTGTCACCCGGACCATCGACCGAGATCGCAGCAGTGACCGGGAGCTGCCACTCCCTCGCATCGCCAGAAACCCGGTGGTAGACCATACCACGGGCAGCCTAGACAGCGCAGAGGCGCCGGCAGGCCTCAGTCGTCGCGAGATAGGCCGTCGGCTACTGCGCGATAGCGTTAACTATGCCTCTCCCGGCCGACGCATGAGGATCCCCAGAGACCTGCATGGCCAGGACATACTCCCTCTGGCGGCCCCCAACTCTCTTCGGGGCCGCCCGTCATATTCCCCCCGGTTTGCACCAGCTCATCCCGACGAGGACGCCAGTCTCGCTAACATCGCCGAGGCCGAGGATTCCTCTACCACGGAGGGAACCATGGATGCGAGTATGCCTCTCCTGCGTCGCGTAGGACACCGCTCTGTAGCCACTGCACGGAACTCACCTTCAGCCATACCCGCTCCCTCCTTTTCCCAGGCCGAATCTGTCATGTCTGCGGACGATGAAGTGCCCGATGTATCAGATACTTGGGCTAGGCTGCTCAACACCATCCCTCTGGACAACAATCTCCCCAGCGCAGATTCCTCTTTCACCTCCGCCACCGCGTCAGCCTCCGCTTCTGGCTCTGGTGGTTCACGGTCGTCTACTGCAGCACCTACCTCTCTCACTCCCAGTTCGTCTTTTGGCTCCTCTGTCTCCGCACGAATGCATATAATGTTTGACCCGTTCCCCTCCTTCCCTGCAAACTGCGATTATATCTCTTCCTCCGACAACTCAGACACAGAGACAGAAGACCACGACCTAGAACGGCATCGGGGCTACAGCCGGCAAAGTCAACCCCGAAGTCAATCGCAGTCTCAATCGCAGACGCCAACGCAGACACAGAACCCTGCACAACCCCAGTCCGAGAGCAATACACCCACCGATAGTTCCGCTCCCACTGCTTCTTCCTTCACACTCGAGAATGAAGCAGCGGGCCTACAACTACTCCACGACACCCTCAACCTTCTGAGCAGACGGGATGACATCCCCGATGAATGGTGGGCGACCGCCGGCCTCACACGCATCATTAATCGCGAACTGAACCGTGAATTAAGTCGTGATCAAAATGCCGAGTGACCGCGTGTTCTCTCCTCTTTGTTGGAAGAGCTGGCCTCTTCAACTTGTTACCTGCGACTTTCACGCATTATGACTCTTTACTCTTCTTAGATATGACGGCCATATATATATATATATATTACTGTGTAGCCATATCTTATTGTTTTTCTGTTTTTCTATTTTTCCCTCTACAACAAAATGGCGCCGTATTTTATGTTGGTTTCCAGGGAGGCGATGTCAGATTTATTGTCAGTTTTACTCTTTACAACCGCGTCTCTACGTTAATATCAGTCACATCGAACCCACGACCTGTCCACGAATACTGCGAATACTGCCTTGGGCAAGGATACCCTAAAGGACGGGAAGAAGCACGAAGTTTTTGTCCGTTCCCGCGGCGCTGTTTAAGCTTAAATCCTGCTTTCTACGAAGCTCCACTTCCGCCTAGTTATATATTATTCAAAATCCCCCGAACAGCAGCACAACGACCAAGTTTAAGACGACTATTGATTAGAAAAGCCTGATCATGCCCCTGTTTTGTATGTAATATCTCCGGCATGCTCTATATAATATCCAGATAGCACGCACCTTGGGTCTTATCCTCTAATAGAGTAAGTAAGTATAGTAAGCGCCTGCTCTGCACTTTTCATAGTACAAAATTTCCCCTAGTCTGAACCGATATATTCCGTTGCCTCAGAAAATAAAAAGACAGATATATATCTAATAGCCATCCTAGTACTAAAAAGACGAGAGCAGCGGCAAGCAATTAAGCAATTGCTCCTCTCCGGGCTGGATGTAGACTCCGTCTTCCAAGAGGATCCTGCTCCGGCAGAAGCCAGGTTGACCTAGGGCAGGGAACATCCCGGGCACCGTGGGGCGGTTCTCACAGCTACCTTGATGTTAACCCCGTATTCCCACCTTGTTTTGTCTTGTTTTGTCTTGATCTTGCCTTGATCTTGCCTTGAAATCTGCTCTTGATGATAGACGGCGGGTTTGGACTGACTAGCCGCTTACGTAACCTCAGCGGGCATCCAGCAGCATCCAGGGCTCAGCCTCCGCCAGGGCGAGAGAGACGACAATATCAATCACTGCTACTTGCTACATCCCGTCACTGCTGGCGGCCGACAGAGTGCTCTGAACCAGCGGATACATAGGCTGAAAACCATGGACGACCAGGTCGAGCGCCTGGCCCAGAAAGTATGGGGTATGCGGCCTGCCTATATATCAACCTAGTTAACTATGTACGTGCGGGCAGGGTGCTTTTAACTCACATACAAATTTCTTCTCGTAGGGGCCTTCCAATCGACGGAGCCGACAGCGCGCTACATGGTGGGCATCAGCGGCATCCCCGGCTCGGGCAAGACCTCGCTGGCAACGGCCGTCGTCCACCGGCTCAACGCGATGAGCCCGTCTCCCGTGGCTGCCTGCATCGCCATGGACGGCTACCACCTCACACGAGCCCAGCTGTCAGCCATGCCCGACCCGGTGCTCGCCTTTGCCCGCCGCGGGGCAGCGTTCACCTTCGATCCCACCAACCTGATAGCGCTGATCAACTCGCTCCGCAGCCCGCTGACCACGAGCTCGCCGACGCTCTACGCGCCCAGCTTCGACCACGCCGTCAAGGACCCCGTCGAGAACGACATCCCCATCCCTCCCACGGCGCGGATACTGCTGTTCGAGGGCAACTACCTAGCTCTCGACAAGAAGCCGTGGAGCGATGCCGCCGCGCTGCTGGACGAGCTGTGGTTCGTGGAGGTGGACTTTGAGGTTGCCAGGCAGCGGCTGGTCAAGCGGCATGTCCGTGCCGGCATTGCAAAGGACGAGGAGGAGGCCGACAGGAGGGCGCGCGAGAACGACCTGGTCAACGGGCAGGAGATTGTAGATAACCGTCTGCCCGTGGCCGAGATCATAACCAGCAGGGAGGACGCGCAGTGGAAGACCCCTTAGCTACTTCGCTAGTTGCAGTCAGGTAGTACAACGCATGTGCTTTCGACTCTCTCCTCCCTCGTCCATGACGTCTAGACAACCCTCGAGATGCCCCTTTGCGGCCCCTTGCGGCCCCCTTCGCAGCCTTGGGCCAACCAGCGCCAGCGCCCTGCCCGGCGACGGGTAAATGTTCCATGGTCCAGCCAGCCCCGGTGGCAAGGAGAGGTCAGCAAGTAACGTGTTTGGGATGCCCTGGACGGCTTGGCAGGGCCGTCTTCTTTTTCATCCTTTTCTTCTTCGTCTTCCAGTCTTCTTCTTCTTCCGCATCGTCAGCCACAGCCGGCCTTGCTTGCTCTCCTTTCACTGTTCTTTCAACCAACTTCGCTCGCTCGTTATTCCTCAGTAGCCCGGCCTACCACGCTCATTACACACCGTCTGTCGCTTCAATCTCACGCTCGACGCACCCGCTGTCTCCTTTTTTTTTTTATTCCCCGTCTCCTGACCTGACTCCGATCAACCGCCGTCATGTTGGCCAGATCTGTCCTTGCTTTCCTCTTCCTCGCTCTCTGCAGCGTTGTCGCGGCCTTGCCTCCTGCGTGTCTGCTCGAGGTGGTCAGGTATGTAGTTTCTCTGCCCAGTGTGGATGGGTGAGGGTGGTCGAGATGCAGGGCTAACCAGGCCGTTCGTTCAATAGCGCCAACGGACATCCCGGTGACTTCGACACCCTCTGCGGTTCTGGCAGTGATGGCGTCCAGAAGGAGATTGCCCAGAAATGCGGGAGCAACACCAAGGAAGCCCTGCAATCCTACAAGCAGTCTTGCGGTGAGGCCGGATTCAAGATCAGTATGTGCATTCCCCAACGTCATCCCACAACGTCCCCCCCCCTCTGCAGTGTCCGAAGAGAACTAACAAAGAAAAAAAAAAAAATATCCAGCTCTCATTCATGCCAACACTACTTCTTCCTCGTCGCCGTCTCAGACTTCCTCCATCTCCGGCTCCGGCTCCATGACCACTGGCTCGGGAACTGCTCCTACCTCCGGCTCCGGCTCCCGCCCCAGCTCTGGCTCTGGCTCCAAGCCCAGCTCCGGCATGGGATCGTCTCCCACCAGCACCTCGCCTCCATACACCGAGTCCAACGTCGGCTCGCTCCAGAAGGCCGACTCGGTGTTCATCGCCCTTGTTTTTGCCATTGTCGGAGCCCTTGCCATGTAGAGCGCTGTCGTTCGGTCTTTGCTGCCCAGCCAATACTTCTTGCATCGCATCTTGTATCTCCCCTTTTTGTATTGCTTCCACTATCCACTATGCAGCGGCACCAAATATACATAGTGTACAATAGCAAATTAGAAGCATCGTGACGTGCGCCGTGTGCGTCGTTTTGTACATTTCTCATTCCTTGCTGTATAATCTTGTCTCTTATTACTGCGTCTCTTATCTCGAGAGTCCACTCTGAGATCGATCTCCATCTCTCTTTTCCCCTTTTCTTTTCATCCTCTTAAATCTATATATGTCGTCATATAAAACAAGTCTTAAAACTATCTAAAAACAGCATCAATCATTAATAATAATAATAATAATAATAATAATAATAATAATAATAATAATATTAATAATAATAATAATTAATTGCTAAAAAAAAGAAAAAAAAAAAGAAAGCGCGTTTGATATCATCACGTGACCACGCCCTCTTTCCACTCTTTTTCTGCCTCTCCTCACCGCGTCCCAAAAGAAGAAAGACGCGTCGCTTTCTATAAATTGGAAATTTCTCGCGCCGCGAAAAGTTGAAGTCGCGAACTCTTCTTCGACTGCAAAAAAAAAACACCAGCAACAACGCCAGCGAGATAGTAAAAGACCAGCATCAGCATCACCAGCCTCAGCAGCCATCCTGTCCGCCTCTGCTCGTCGTCTGCTGGCTCAGAGAAGGCAGTCCCTGCACCACCGAAGGAGCATCGTCGACCGGAACACGCAGCATTCACGTACTGCTCTGTTCCCCCGCCGCCGGCATAGACCCTAGAGCACTGCCTGCAAGATGTTCGTCTACAAGAGAGGTACGTCTCCCCAGACCCTTGCAGGGCCGTTATTTGGCTGCAGATGTGTGCTAACATGGTACTAGACGGCCGCAAGGAGCGTGTGCAGTTCGACAAGATCACTGCCCGCGTCTCGAGACTGTGCTATGGCCTTGACCCCGAACATGTCGACGCAGCTGCCATCACACAGAGAGTCATCTCCGGTGTTTACCAGGGAGTTACCACAGTCGAACTCGACAACCTGGTACGTCTCTTGTCTCTTCCCGTCCCCGTATCTATTACACCGAAGTTGTGGCAAAGTAACTGACGGGAGTCTCACAGGCCGCCGAAACTGCTGCATACATGACCGTGACCCATCCAGACTATGCCATTCTTGCTGCAAGAATAGCAGTGTCGAACCTCCACAAACAAACCAAGAAGCAATTCTCGTCCGTCATAGAGGATCTCTATCACTATGTCAACCCAAAGAACGGCCGGCCAGCTCCCATGATATCTGAGAAGACTCGGGAGATCGTCATGAAACATGCTGAAGAACTCAACTCGGCTATTGTGTACGACCGTGACTTTAACTACCAGTACTTCGGCTTCAAGACGCTTGAAAGGTCATACCTCCTACGAACCAACGGCAAGGTTGCCGAGCGGCCACAGCACATGATAATGCGAGTTGCCGTGGGTATCCACGGTGAGGACGTTGAGAAAGTAATTGAAACCTACAATCTCATGTCCCAGAAATACTTCACCCACGCCTCTCCCACTCTCTTCAATGCCGGAACCCCGCAACCGCAAATGGCTTCCTGCTTCCTGATTGACATGAAGGAGGACAGTATCGAAGGTATCTACGACACACTGAAGACCTGTGCTTTGATCTCAAAGACTGCCGGAGGTATCGGTCTTAACGTCCACCGTATCCGTGCCACCGGATCCTACATTGCTGGAACCAACGGCTCCTCCAACGGAATCGTCCCCATGCTCCGTGTGTTCAACAACACTGCCAGATATGTCGACCAGGGCGGCAACAAGCGTCCAGGTGCCTTTGCTATCTACCTGGAGCCATGGCACGCCGATATCTTTGAGTTCCTTGACCTCCGCAAGAACCATGGAAAGGAAGAAGTCCGTGCCCGTGATCTCTTCCTGGCCTTGTGGACTCCTGATCTGTTCATGAAGCGAGTTGAAAAGAATGGCGATTGGACCCTATTCTGCCCCAATGAGGCTCCTGGCTTGGCTGATGTCTACGGAGAAGAATTTGAGGCTTTGTATGAAAAGTTAGTTGTTCTCTCCGCACCTTTCAGTCAGATCTACTCAATACGACTCCGCTAACCCCCATTTCTAGATACGAGAAGGAAGGTCGAGGCCGGACAACCATCAAGGCCCAGAAGCTGTGGTACGCCATTCTTGAGGCCCAGACGGAGACTGGAAACCCCTTTATGCTTTACAAGGATTCCTGCAACCGAAAGAGCAACCAGAAGAACCTTGGTACCATCCGTAGCTCTAATCTCTGCACTGAGATTGTTGAATATACCGCCCCAGATGAGGTTGCAGTTTGCAACTTGGCATCCATCGCCCTTCCTACCTTTGTGGATGCTGTTCGCGGGGAATACGATTTTGGCAAACTCCATGAAGTTACTCAGGTCGTTGTCAGAAACTTGAACAGAATCATAGACGGGAACCACTACCCTGTTGAAGAGGCACGACGAAGCAATTTCCGTCATCGTCCCATTGCCGTCGGCGTCCAGGGCCTTGCTGATGCTTTCCTCGCTCTTCGACTGCCCTTCGACTCGCCCGAAGCCAAACTTTTGAACACCCAAATCTTCGAGACCCTTTACCATGCTGCGTTGACCGCATCGTGTGAGCTTGCCAAGGTTGATGGTCCATACTCCTCCTATGAAGGCTCTCCTGTTTCTCAGGGTATCCTTCAATACGATATGTGGAACGTAACGCCAACCGACCTCTGGGACTGGGATGGTCTTAAAGCTGAGATCTCCAAGCACGGTGTTCGTAACAGTTTACTACTTGCGCCCATGCCAACTGCCAGCACCAGTCAGATTCTTGGCTTCAACGAGTGCTTCGAGCCTTACACCTCCAACATCTACTCACGTCGTGTACTTGCTGGCGAGTTCCAAGTCGTCAACCCATGGCTTCTCAAAGACCTAGTCGACCTCGGCCTGTGGTCCGACAATATGAAGAATCGTATCATCGCCGACGGTGGCTCCATTCAAAACATCCCTAATATCCCAGCAGATATCAAGGCTCTGTACAAGACCGTGTGGGAAATTTCTCAACGTACTATTGTTCAGATGGCCGCTGATCGAGGTGCCTTCATTGACCAGTCCCAATCCCTCAACATCCACTTGAAAGAGCCTACCATGGGAAAAATCACCAGTATGCACTTCGCCGGCTGGAAGCTAGGTCTCAAGACCGGCATGTACTATCTCCGTACCATGGCTGCATCTGCTCCAATTCAATTCACAGTAGACCAAGAGCAACTCAAGGTTGTTGACACCAACGTTGCCCGCACAAATGCAGCTATGAGAAAACGTGTTGGCGCTGCTAGCCCAGGAGCCTCTTATTCCGCCGTTCCTCGTCCCATGTATGATGGAACACAGCAGGCAGTTTCAACTCCTGTATCCAAAAAGACTACGCCAGATGAAGAATCTAGACCTACCCCGATGCCAAGCTCTAAGGCTGCTTCTGAAGATAAGTCAGCGGAGAAAGCGGGCGAGGCGGAGTCGAAGGATGAAAAAGGCGATGCCCAGACAGAGGCAGACATTTACTCGCAAAAAGTTCTTGCCTGTAAGTTATCACCAACATTATTAGACTGGCCCTTTCAGCATGGAAACTAACTATTTCTTAGGCAGCATTGAGAACAAAGAAGAGTGCGTGATGTGCAGCGGCTAGGCGTCCAACTAAACTATACAACTCCTCTACAAAGTTGTATGCTACGTGCTATACATACCCTCCATATTCTTAACCAACCTCGCCATTTCCATTCCCCCTTTGCATGGTTTCTCAGTTTCATGTTGCCTACGAGTCAGATGGATAAGTTAATGTCAAATATAATGTTTTTCCTTTTTCCTTTCTTTTTTTACCATATTTATATTTCAATTGGATTATATTTCTTGCATATCTCGGTTCTTATTCTCTATGACTGTCATAAGTGTATTTACATAGTATCTAGAATGACCAGCTTGCCAGTTATTATGATATTAAATAAAAGAGGCTATCAAAGCAACCTGGTGGTCATACTGCACACCATGCTACCTAGACATAGGTATGGACACGCATGGCATATACGCACATGACAGAAGCAAAAAATCTGACTATAAACTCCCCAATGACCAGCTTATACAAAAAGGATGCAGGGTATATACATATAGCAATGCCAGAAAGGAAAGGGGGATCCGACTGCTGGGGTAAGAAAAAGAAACTCGTGAAATAGCATGTATGCAAAAATGCGCCGCGCTAAATGCCGATTGCGATCATCTGATATCCTTATACACCTCTCCTGAACGGTAATAATAGTAATCCGAGCTTTGTCGTGCATTTACCCTGTCTAGCTCGACTGAAGGAGAGGACGGGCCCGGCGGCCATCTCCTCTCGGATTTGGAGCTCCTATCCCACCTGCCCGACGACCGGCTCGGTTCGCAGGATGCCCTGTCCGAAGTTGGGGATCTCAAAGATGCGTGCCACGATGACAAGCTATGCATTAGACCACCACTGCGGTAATGGCCTTTTGCACGTTTCGGTGCTTGTGTGGGCGACGTCGGTATGTGCGCCGACGAGCGATCCTGCGACTTCTGAACGACGCGTGCAATTGTTTCTTGAGAAGGAAATATTGATTCCGGGACCGCGAATCCCTCTCCACGATCGTTCTGGGTAGGATGGAATGCCACGCTAGTGCCCCTAGCCCGGTGGTTTTTCAACGTGGGGTCGGTATGTCTCTTTGCAGGGGCGAAGGTGTTTAGATATATCGGGAAGATCAAGCAAGCGGTGAATAAGACGGCAGGAACTATAAAGGAAAACTGGACTCCTCGGCTGTTGGCGACGGCTCGCTGGACGCAAGTGAACACTGCACCGCCGGAGACTGCAGCTGTTAAAAAGGCAGAAGCTGTTTTGGTATGATGGCCCATGCCACGGAGGGCGATGGCGAAGGTGAGGCCGTAGATGCCACTTCCGAAGAAGTATGTGCCC